AGCAGTTGGTGAGCAGCCCCGGGCAGCAGACGGCATAGTGAAGGTTTCACCAGCCAGCAAGGCCCCGCAGCAGCCAGGGAAAGAAGCTGCCAAGATGACGGATGCCAAAGCAGCCCCTGCCCCTCACAGCGAGGCCCGGATCCTTACAGTCACCCCCAGCAACCAGCTCCAGGGCCTGCCTCTGAGCCCGCCTGTGGTGGTGACCCATGGGGTGCAGATCGTACACTCCAGTGGCGGGGAGCTGTTCCAGGAGTACAGGTGCGGGGATATCCGCACCTACCACGGCCCGGCTCAGCTCGCTCACACTCAGTTTCCTGCCACCGCCTCCGTTGGCCTGCCTTCCCGGACCAAGGTTCCCACTCAGGTGAGAGCACTGCAGTAAATCCGCCTTCTAGTGCAAATAGTGATTGAGGTGCCAGTGTGGTTCCTAAGGTGTGTCATTCTTTTCGTGGGTTTAAAGAGAAACTTCCTAAATTTCAGGGATCAGATCACAGCACAGAGAGCTGAAGGACACGGGAAGGAGCTCTTTGTGGGTGGGGAGGGAACATATTACCATCTCTTACCAGAACCCTCAATCTTGAGTCCCAGAATACATCACCAACTGGTTAAAGTATCCCCCCCAACCCCGGGGTGGGGGTGGGGGGGGCCCTAGCTAAGACTTGCTGGGGCCAAGGGCCAGTTAAGTTGGGGGCTGGGTGTTGTTCATAACAGACTCTGACCATGTCCCTATCTCTTCCTGCCCAACCCTAGGGTCCCCCTCCTGAAAGTGAGCCTTTGCAGCCCACTCAACCTGTGCAGTCTACACAGCCTGTCCAGTGCACGCAGCCCTCACAGCTTAGCCAGCCACCAAGCAGCAAGATGCCTCAGGTCTCCCAAGAGGCGAAAGGGACCCAGACAGGAGTAGAACAGCCTTGCCTCCCAACCTTACCTGCAAACAGACCAGCTGAGCCTCATGTCCCGGTTCAGAGGACCCAAACAGAAACAAGCCAGATCTCCTATCCCTCCCCTGTATCTGTCTCCATGAAGCCTGACCTTCCGGGCCCTCTCCCTGCCCAGGCTGCCCCAAAGCAGCCATTGTTTGTCTCTACAACCTCGGGCCCTAGCACCCCTCCAGGATTGGCTCTGCTGCACACTGAAGCCCAGCTCTCCCCCAAACAAGATTCTCCACACTTGACTTCCCAGAGACCTGTGGATATGGTTCAGCTTCTGAAGGCAAGTCTGGGAGGGGTCCCCCCCACTACTCTCCAAGCTTGGTGCTGTGTTAAAATGTCCTAAGAGCCCACTTTATTTAGCACAGTAAGCCTGCTGCCTAGGGCCATGTCCAGTCATGAGCTCACTTCCTGTCTCCCCTTGAACAGAAGTACCCCATTGTGTGGCAGGGCCTCCTGGCCCTCAAGAACGACACAGCTGCTGTGCAGCTCCACTTTGTCTCTGGCAACAACGTCCTGGCCCATCGGTCTCTGCCCCTCTCGGAAGGAGGTCCCCCACTGAGGATCGCTCAGAGGATGCGGCTAGAGGCCTCACAGCTGGAAGGGGTTACCCGAAGGATGACGGTAAGATGGGGCCCAGGTGAGCAGCTGCCCTACCAGGGATATAAGGTGTAGGTGCCCCCAGCTGCCTATCCTCCTTAGTGTGGATGACGATGGGCGTGTTCTTTCCCTCGGAGTGTAAAATGCCTCTAGACATAAAACGGCTTTTTTTTTTTTTTATTCAGCAAATTTAGGGGTGGACTTTCAGGTCTTTTCAGAGGTAGGAGCTTTTGTGGACATGGGAGCCAAACCCCCTGGGTTGGACAGGCCTCTGTGTTGTGAGGAGGCCCCTGACAGTTGCCTCTCTCCCAGGTGGAGTCAGAGTATTGTCTGCTGCTGGCTCTGCCCTGTGGCCGTGACCAAGAGGATGTCGTGAGCCAGACCGAATCCCTCAAGGCTGCCTTCATCACCTATCTACAGGCCAAGCAGGCGGCAGGGATCATCAATGTTCCCAACCCTGGCTCTAATCAGGTCAGCCTCCTGCCCAGTGTCTTTCCTCGGTGCACAGGTGGGACAGGTTATGCAATTTGACTAATCTGGTGGCATGGCCTACTAGTGCAGCCAGAGCAGTTCAGGAGTTTCTTAGAGGTGGGCAAAGGGCATCTGGGTAGAGGAAATAAGCAGTGTCTGGGTGGGGCCACCATTGCCCATCCTGGAGACAATCAAGGGACAGCTGATACAGCAGGTTTTTCTTTAGCCTAATGATATAGAAGAGGGTCACAGGAAATTAGTTCATTATAGTTTTCTGACAAAGCCACGGAGCCTTAGCTGGTTGGGAAACTGACTAAAGCTGGCTCTGTGCGTGGGGCCTGTTCAGAGTAGCAGTGGGGTTGATGTGAAGACAAGGGGTCTCACTTATTGCTCGTCCTCTTCTCCAGCCTGCCTATGTGCTGCAGATCTTCCCACCCTGCGAGTTCTCGGAGAGTCACCTGTCCCGTCTGGCCCCTGACCTTCTGGCCAGCATTTCCAACATTTCTCCCCACCTCATGATTGTCATTGCCTCTGTGTGAGCCACTGGTCGGTCAGCGACTCGGTGTTTTCCTGAAGCTCTGCAGAAAAAGCAAACACAGGACAACCCAGCCACGTGGAGGAAGAAGCTGCCGAAGGGGACAGACTCCACTGCCAGACGGCCAGCCTTGCCTCCTGGCCTGCCGGCCCAGCTCAGGCGGACAGAGCCCTCTGGGCAGTGGTGCTGCTACTCTGTATGTTTACAAGACATTGAGCCCAAGGACAGACCACCAACCAATGGACTTGCAGACACCTTGGGGCTGGGTTTCTCCGCTTTTTGGAGAAAAGGAAAGGGCAGTGGAATTAAATTTTTGTTTTGTTTTTAAGAAACAAGAAAACAGAACTGCCTTTGCACTAAATTAGTGACTTGGACTTTTGCATAGTGAAGACAGGCTGTGGCACTCTGGACATCTTGGTGTATGTGAACACGTCACAGACTCAACGCAGGACTTCAAACTGCTGCTGAAACCTTGGGGTCAAGGAACATTTCATTGGGTTTGTCCCCATCTCCTCCCTTCTCCTTGCTCATCTGGCTGTCATCTTGTCTTAATTCTCTTGCCACCACCATCTGATTCACCCAGGATGTACAGCTTACAATCGGAAAAAAAAGAGCAAACCGAAGGATTTTCTGTCGGTGGGATATGCAGAACTTGGGATGTGTGTATATATAAATATATAATATATATAAATATATATAATACTGACTTAAAAAATCAAATCCCCCTGACATACATTTTTTTTAATCTGTGCCAAAAATGTGTTTTAAGAGAAAAAATCTTATTTTCATACTCAGACTTTGTATTGTCACTCATTTGTATAAGTGCGCTTCGTTACGGCCCGGGCCCTGCCCCTGCAATCTGAAAGTGTGTCTGTCTCTCTCTCTCTCTCTCACACACACACACACACACACACACACACACACACGCACTGCAAAAAGACTGGCTTTCCTCTTCCTATGTGACCTTGACCTCTCCCCAACAACTTCCTAACACTCATTAATTTATAAAACTGTTTTTCTCAGCGCAGTTTTGTTTTGTGTGTCCATTGGATTACAAACTTTATTAAAAAATACAAAACATGTCAAGTGTGGATGTAACTGTCACTTGGGTAGGAGGACCAAGTAAATGTCCTTGGCTTATGGCGTAGCTGCCCTCGCTTCACTTTTGCTTTCAGTCTGTAAAGGGGCCTATTTCCGAGCTACTGCTTAAACCTCCCCAAGGAGCATTTTATCTGATGTAAGACAGATCTTTGTCACAGACCCAACTTTTCTCAATGCTGTGGTGCTGTGAAGACCTGTGATACTTCAAGGCTCTGACTGGTTCTTGGATAATGTGGAAGGCACTACAGGTAAAACCAACCCCATGCACACTCAAACATCTTGAGCAAGCTTTGGCGTCTTGATTCTTCACCCTTCCTCCTCTGCGTGTGGTGCAGGCCAGCCCTGCAGCAGCAGTGGCATAGCCTGGCAGTCTGGTGGAACGGATTCCTGACAGGAAGATGGGGTGCTGGGCCAGGCTTCCCCTGCAGCTGGAAGTACAAGCTGAGGAATTGGGCAGGGATGGGAACATGGAACGCAGCGTTGGTGGTCTCACTTGCAATATCCATGGGGCTCCACCAAAGACCTATACTTTTGGTGCAAGAAGCTACTATCTCTGAGTAAGGGATTACGGCTGCTCGGGGGAAACTACGGGAAAGGGGCATCTCATGTTTCCCTGCCCCACCAGCCTCTGCACCTGCTCCTAGTGTAAGCAGTGCTGTGTCTCCCATCTCCCCATCAAAGCTCCTAGCTGCTCATTGTCCCTCTGGGCCCTCACCTGGTGGAAGAGACTCCACTGACTCAAGGCAAGTAAAAGTTCCCAAAAGATGGTACTGGCTTGGCCATGATCCTCGGGCCAAGGTTACTGTGAAGTCCGTGTAAGCCCTGCCTCCCCAAACACAACAAAACAGGGAAATGGCCTGTCGGGCCTGGTTCTCTCTGCCTACCTTGTTGCTCTGGCTTAATGGCCCCTGAGCTGGGTTCTCTGGGTTGCCTGGATCCTGGTAAGCAGTGTGGCCAGCCTCTGCTGGCCCAGCTCCCAACCCCCAGGCAGAGGGGGAGCAGGGTCACAACAGCTCCATGGCAGAGAAGAGAGTTGAGGTCCTCATGGTGAAGAGGTGAGAAGCCTCCAAAGAGAAGATTGGTTGAGGGGATGGGGTGTATGGAGCTCTGCACCCTGACTTGGGCAAAGCAGCCAGCTTGCTTCTAAACAGTTCCCAAGGTTCCAGTCTCATTCCACAGAAGGGACAGCGTAGCTTTCCCAACTGGTTCTGGGGTAGAGCAGCCCTTTGGGGCATCAGCCACAGCTGCCAGCTCCCCACCCCATCCCCACAGGGAGCTGTAGGCAGCATTAGAAAATAATCAAATTTATTCTCTAGGGAACGGGGCCACCCATCCTTAAATAAACAGTCAGGAAAGATGCCTGCTCACTCAGCAGGCGGTGGGCATTCTGGGGCTGAGTGGGGTGTCTCTGCCAGAGCAGGCTGGCCATCAGTCCCATCCCGAGGGCGGAAGACCAGTTCCCCAGTCTGCAACACCTGCCCGGCCGACCACGTGCTGCCTGACCCGTACTGCTGGTAGCAGATGTCCGAATCCGTCTGGAACATGACCAGTGCCTGTGCTGTGTGGATCCGCACATGCTGGGCCAGGCTGTTGGCATCCAGGAACTTGTCCCCACAGGAGTCACAGGCATAGAGGATATGAGTGTTGGGGTCTGTGGGAGGTGGGGGCCACAGTCAGGATGCGAAGGACCCTTGAGCTCCACCAGCTTTTACCCCTGGTCAGCCCTTCTCACTCACCTTCTTCCTGCACTTGCTTCACAGCTTTGCTGATCTCGGCTTTAAGCACTTCCGTCTCGTCAGCAGTCACTGCAGCCCCCACTGGTACTACTGTGGGCAGAATCAGCAGGGCCTAAGGCCAGAGGCACCAGCCCCTTCACTGCCACCCCAGAGGCAAGCTGCTCGTGACCACCCTCTGCTGCCCACAGCCCTCACCTGTGAGCTGAGTGACGGCTGTTGCCGCCAGTGCCTCGGTGGCCAGCGTAACCATGTCATCCACAGTGACTACGCTGACCTCACCACCCTCCTCTGGCTCCAGGATTTTGATGCCTGCCTTGCCCTGGTGCACAGTCTTCACATGGGAACGAAGGTTGTCCACCCGGTTGAAGCCGCGACCGCACTTGTCACAAAGGTAAGGCTTCTCTCCTGGGGGGGGAGGCAAGGTTCTCTCCTGCCATTGGGGGAGGGGGGAGGACCTCAGTGGCCTCCAGCTTCCCCAGCAGCCCTGAATTTTCCAGTAGGAAGTGTTCGGGGGCAGCCACCAGAGCTGCACAGGAGCCTCCAGTGGCCCCTGCACTTCCAGGAGCTCTTAGGAAAATGGGGTCCTCACTTGAATTGAACTGCCTTCAAAGCCACCTGTTCTAAGTGCCAGTACCCAGGCTGCAATCTGGGGATACCCACCCTCCCCCCAGCAAGCTCAGGGCATGGGACAGGCCGGCCTGGCAGGGGCACACACTCACCAGTGTGGATGATGATGTGTTTGGATAGGTCCCCCACGTTCACGAAGGCCTTGCTGCACACACTGCACTTGTGGGGGCGGATGTTGTCATGGTGGCGAATGTGATTGGCCAGCTGGCTGGACTGGACAAATCTGCAGGCCACAGAGGGAGGGGCTGGCCTCAACTGCCCAAGCTGGGGTCAGGGGAGCTGGGCTAGCCTCCTGCCTCTCCTTCTAGACTGGAGGGGACCACTGGACTGGGCTCAGGCAGCAGTTAGCCCAGTTTGCAACTGAACCCTAGTGTGTTTCCAGAACCCCTTCGCCCTGCAAAGTGTGGGACCCCAGAGCACCCTGGGCATGGGTGGGGCAGGACCTCTTGCCGCAGCGCTCGCAGACGTAGGGCTTCTCCCCAGTGTGCTGGCGCACGTGGGCGATGAGGGAGCTGGCCTGGGTGAAGGCTTTGCCGCACATCACGCACTGGCATGGCTTCTCGCCTGGGGACCGGCAGCAAAAGATGTTAGTGCCAACTTCCCCTCCTCCCTGTGTGCCCTGCCCCTCTCCTAGGCTCCCACCGCTGGGCGTGCTCACCCACCCGTGTGGATGCGGACGTGCCGCTGCAGGGCGCCGGGGTCAGCGAACTGCCGCTGGCAGTGGTTGCACACGTAGGGTTTCTCCCCGCTATGGATCCGAAGGTGCCGCTTTAGGTTCCCTGTGGAGATGGGCAGAGGGCCCGGCGTGAGGCATCGGGAGGCGGCCGAGGAGTGGAGGGTGTGGGCAGCCAGGCAGCCTGGCCCTACCTGAGGTGGTGAACTGCTTCCCGCACTCCCGGCACTTGAGGGGCCCGTCCGCGATGTGGATCTTCAGGTGGGCCTTCAGGTTCCCCACCTGTGCCAGGCAGGGGTCAGAAAGGCCACCACTCAGAGTGGCTGTGAGCCCCCTCCGCAGCCCCTCCGCCAGGGAACAACTGGTTCTGGGTCCTCCCAGGAGCCGGTGGATGGCTCCATCTTTGCTCAAGGACAATGGAAGGTCCCAGATCCTAGCAGTGAGAGGGAAGCCACGCCCACTCCACTTCTTTCTGGTCTGCACCCCATCCTGACCTCACCCGCCTTCTCACTTTCCCCGGCAGAGCTCTGTCCTGGGGAGTGCCACGCTCTCCTCAGCACCTACTTTTCCCACTGAGCCTGTGTCTTCGAGGGCCCAGCCCGAGGCGGGAGCTCCCTCAGCCAGGGGCCCCCTCCGCTCATCAGTGTGCAGGGCGGAGGCGCCCCAGGGGGCGCCCACACACCTGGTTGAACTTCTTGTCACAATGAGGGCACTTGTGCTCCTTGTCAGTGTCGTGAGTCTCCAGGTGGCGCATCTTGGAGGTGGGGTCGGAGAAGGAGCGGCCGCAGTAGTCGCACTGGTAGGGCTTCTCGCCGCTGTGCACCAGCTGGTGCCGCTTGAGGTTGCCGGACGTGGTGAAGAGCTTGCCGCAGTCCTCGCAGCGGTAGCGCGCCTCGCCCGAGTGCCGCTTCTTGTGCAGGTTCAGCAGGCTGATGAGCCGGTAGCTCTTGCCGCACTCCTCGCAGCCGTAGGGCTTCAGCGGGCTGGTGGTCAGAAGGGAGAGGGGGGTCGCTGGGGTCCTACCGGGGCTGAGCCAGCGGGACAAGCGGCAGGCCGGGCACCGCACCTGTGCGTCTTCTCGTGGGCCTTGCAGGCGGCGGGGTCGGAGAAGGCCTTGCTGCACTCCCGGCACGAGAAGGGCTTCTCGCCTGTGTGGATGCGGATGTGCCGCTTGAAGTTGCCCGTGTGTGTGAACTCCTTCCCACAGTCCTGCAGGGCGCGGGAATCGGAGTGAGGGGGTGCTGGGTGGGGGGTGGGGCTGGGCAGGGCGGGTGGTGCCACCTGTGGCCGTACCTCGCATTTGTGGATGATGGAGCCGTAGGCCTTGGACTCGGTACGGTCGCCATAGGTGCTTGGGCGCAGGCCCCGGGCCTCTGCGCCCAGCTCCTGGCCCGAGTCCGTGCTGGCCGACTCCTCGCTCTCCTCGGGGGCATCCCCCTTGTCCAGGTGCGGCCCTTCTTCCTTGACGCCAGAAGGCATGGCGTCCTCCTCTCCCTCTTCTCCTTTCCTGGCCGGCTCCACCTGCATTTCTGAGATGAGGAGGGCAGGCACTGAGGGGCCAGGGAGGCAGAGGGGCTCCCAAAGGGACATGACCTCAGAGTTAGACAAATGCCAGGAAGCCGACCTGATGTCAGGCCACAGGCCCCTCTCTGCATGGGCACCTGGCAGAGCCTGGTAATATCTGGGCACCACCAATAAATGGTCCCAGCCCTGGCCACGGCAGTGCCAGGAGAGCTGCTGACTGGGACATTGGCTGCTTGGAGGATGGAGGCAGCCTCAGGGCATGGGCACCCTGGTGGGCTGCAGGGCAGCAAGGGCATTGTCAGCAACAAGCACTGGGGTTTTGGGGTTTGGGTATAAGGCTCTCCTTGGTGCGCAGCTGTGGGTGTCGGCAATGCTTCTGTCCCAGCGGGAAGCACAGCCAGGTATCAAAACCAAGAGATTAATGTCGAAATTCAAGAATGAGAAAAGATGTCGCCCCAAAGCTGAAGTGGGTGGGTGGCTCAGAGTGGGATCAGCTGTAGGAGGAGGAGAGGGACCTGGGGGAACTGCGTGAGGGGGGCGTGCGAGTGAAGGCGGGCCTGGCTGGGTGGCTGTACCTTGCTCTGAGCTCTCCGACAAGGCGGCCTCGGCCTCAGCAGCAGCCATGCCACCGGTGGGGTCGGGCTTGGGCTCTGCTGGCGGTGGCTCCCGGGGGGCATCGGCCTTCTCCGTCTGCTCTGCACCTGGGGGTGAGGAGGTGGGACTGAGACTCTATCCAGGGACCAAATGGCTCCCCTGGACCAGGCCCCTGTAGTGGCTGTGGCTCAAGGGTGGGTGGGGTCTGGGTGGGGCCAGCACATCCAAGCTCAGGCTGTTTGGCCTCTGCTCTGGCTGGACCAGACACCCCAGATCAACAGTGGTTCCTTCGGGGTAACCTGAGCTCAAGGGTGCCACTCTATCCCAGCGCCAGGAGCCTCCTGAGGAAGCCCCTCACTGTAGAGGGGCCCAGGGAGATGGTGGAACGGTTGGCTTCAGCGTCACAACTCACCGCTGGCCGCACTCTCTGCCTGCCCGCCTCGTTCCTCCTTGGGGTCCCGGCCCGGGCCCCTGGGTGGACTGCCTCCAGCAGGGTTCCGCTCACTCAGCGTGGTGGCCACAGCCTTCTCTTTGGCTCTCCTGTCCCCTCCTGGAGATGGAACCAGATAGACCTGTTTCCCATCAAGTGCCACACCTTGGAGAGGTGAGGGTTCCCAGAACTCGCCAGCTCTTCTGGATCCTCCCTGGAGGTACATCTAAGTGGTGGTTTCTTCATTCAACAAATTATGCACAAGACACCTACTGTGCACCTGGCTGCCGGCACGCCTGCACATACCAACCATGGCTGCTGTTCTGGGGGTTCCAAGACCGGCTGGGACACAGACCTCACAGGTGAGATATCAATGCTGCCAGAGTCAGTGCTTAGGAGAGGAGCGGGTTTTCTGAAAGTGTTTCCCAGGGAACCTGGCCCAAACCAGGTGTGGGGAGCTTTTCTGAGACAGTGAGGGGACCAGAGGAAGGGCACGGAGAGGAGTGTGCAGGAGGAGCCCGCGTGTGCGCGGCCTTGAATCAGGCCCACCGCCAGTTCTCAGCAGCAAAGCACAAGGGAAGCTGGAGAAAGGGGGGGCATGGTAGGTAGAGGGCGCCTCCGAGAGGCCTTTCTCAGACATTACTGCAGCTAAACCTCACCAGCACCCACGACCCAGGCAAGGCCAGAGAGGAAACTGAGACCCAGAGAGGTGACGCAGAGGCAGAGCCCCATCGAAAGCCTCCTGCTCGGGAAAGCCTGCCAATTACTTACCTTCCATGGCCACGGCCTCCGTATTCTCCCCAGGGCTCGTGGCCGGCTTGGCAAGTGACTTGAGGGCATGGCAGGCCGTGATGATGTCTTGCATCTGCAGGAAGCTGGCCACAGCCAGCACATCGTCCACATTCTCGGAGCTCAGGCTGAGCTTGGCCGTGTAAATAAATTCCAGTACCTGCCCCAGGCCTGCCAAGGACACAGACAGCCATCACAGACCCGCCTCCAGGCCTGGCACCAGCAGGTGCCACTCGGCGGCAGGATCCAGGGATTGGTAAAGAGCAAGGTGACAGGCCGTCTTCTCCCCATCTCCTGTGCTGGCAGAGAGGCAAGCAACTGAGGGAGTCTCAGCCCAGATAACAGCCTCCAAATGGAGGTACAACCAGAGGGCAGAGGGTGTGAGTGCCCACCCTATACAGAAAACAGGTGTGACTGCTCGCCCTACACCGAGGACAGAGGGTGGGAAAGCCCAGCCTGTACAGAGGATTCAATGGGGGACAGAGGATGTGAACACCTGCCTTGCACAGAAGACAGAAGGTGTGAACGCCTGCTCTGCACAGAAGACAGAAGGTGTGAACACCTGCCCTGTGTGAAGGACAGACGGTGTAAATGCCCACCCTGGACACCCTCTACCCAGCCGCTACTCCTCACCGCCAGAAGGCAATCCAACCAAAGTGATAGTAATGACTGTCATCGGCGCTCTGCCACAAACTCTCTCGCTGACCTCCAGGCCAGTCACCTGACCTCTTTGGGTCTCAGTTTCCGCATCTATAAAATGGGGGAACATGACCTTGCCCTGACCTTCTCATAGCACATCATGCCATGCCGAGTTGGGAGACCAAAACTGACCAGCTCCTTCTTCAATCCCAAGGCCTTCCTGATCCCTTGCCCCAACCCCAACCCTTGCCATCCTCCTCATGGTGAGCACTGGAATAGGGGGTTCAGGACTCGGAGCCCACCTGTTGCCTGTGTTCACTCCGGCCTGGAGCTCATGGTGAGCCCTCACCACCTGCTCCCAGCCTAACAGGCCCCCAAAATGTGGTAGAAACTTGGTAACCACACACTCATGGGTCCTGTATGGGAGGCCTGGTGCACCCCACACCCTGAAGGTATTGCTCCCAGGAGGGCAGGAACTGTATTAGGAGGGCACAGGGTCAGCCAGAGCCTCTGGCCCGCAACAAACTTGCCCCTGGACCCAACAGGGTACCTGCTGCGTTACTGATGTCCAGTTGCACCACATCCTTCTGGTCCACGAAGAGCATCTTGAAGTACTCGCTGCAGGCGGCCAGCACTGCTTTATGGGCCTTAAAATCAACACCGTCCACCACAAAAGTGCAGTCACACAAAAGCCCCTGCTGCCGCTGCTGGTTCAGCTGCTCCAAGACGTGCTGGCTGTGTTGAGGGAAATCCATGGCTGGGGAGAGGCAAAGGGCCTTGGTGTCATTGCGGACAGAGGGTGCCAAGCAGCCTCAGCACGGCCCGAAACTCCCAGGTGAGAAATGTGGGAGACGAGAATTTAAACAAGTCCATGAAGGACAAACAAGTCCAGCCCTCTGCAAGCCCAGGGCTCCTGCATTCCTGGGTTTCCTGGCAGGAAAGCTTCAAAACCCAGAAACAGCCACCTTGTGTCTTACCAGGTAACGACTTTTTAAAAAGTAAAAATATACACACAAAACACTGTCAGCATTGCAAAAAAAAAAAAAAGAGAGAGAGAGAGAGAGAGAGAGAGAGAGAGACAGGGTCAGTTTAACATTTTTTACAAATCTTAGAATACAGGGCGATGTTTCACGTGGGTACCCCTGGCTCGATGAAAACAGTTCGACTTTGCTCTAAGCTTCCCATCTGTCACACAAGGTGAACGTGTGGGGAGGCAGACGCTTAACCACCCAGGCTCTCGGGAATCGGCCCCTTTCCTGCTGTACCCACAGGGCTGCCCGTTCCCTCCGGGCCGTTCCCTGCCTCTCTCCCTCTCACAGACTCAGGGAACTGCAGAAAGCTGGACAGCCTCTGCCTCCAGAAACCTCCCCAGGCTGTCCCTGGAGAGAGAATAAACTCTGACCCTGACCCCAAGAGCTGCTGGTCTGGCTGCAGTTTCTCTGTCAAAGGCCTCACTTAATGCCTGGAAATCCCACAAGTGTCTCCAGTAAAAATGCTCAGAGCAATTCCATGGCCTGGTGCCAAGGGAGCCTGCACTGCCCCAGCCATGACTAAATAAGTATCTAAACTTGCTCTCCTCTCCCTAAAGACCACACCAGTCAGTTTCAGGATCAGCATTTTCTAGGGAAAATAAGTAGGTCCTCCTTGTGAGAAAGAACCAATTTGACACTAAAGTCAACGCCCACTCCTAGGACCGCATTACAGAGAAGCGACAGGCCCAGGCCCAGAATCTGACAAGTGGCAGCGGCTTCTCTTCCGGCTCTTCTGGACCCCCTTCTCGGAGGCTAGTCTCCGCAGAGCTGCCCCAGGCTGTGTCTGGGCAGGTGACAGCAACACCTGGGGCTCTCAGCCCCCAGGTTTCACAGCCCTTCACTAGCCCTGGCTGTTCCCGTTCCATCAGCCTCTTGGGGTGAGTCACCGGGCCACAGCCCTGGCGCTGCAGTGACCATGTATGGCTGTCTGGCTGTGATGAGCCACAACAAAAGCCACACCCCCAGCCCTTCACCCGTGGCATCACCAGCAAATCCACCCCCCCCCCCGTGATGTCTGGAAACTTTCCACAAGAGGGCTATGTATTTGCTGAGCTGGGGGAAGTTACCTGGCAGGTGGGCTGGGCTCCATTCAGTAAGGGGGAGGGTGACATTGGCAACAGGCCCCGTACCACAGAGTGCCAGCCTCTGAGCTGTAGTTCAGAGTTGCTGCTGACCCAGAAACACTCTTTCCCTCCCTCCAACATCCTTCAGTCCCAGCCTCCACCTACAAGCTCACAGACAGAGGCCAGCTCCTTGGATCTGTCAGTAATATCATAACTGCCTGTGACGAGAGCGCCTAAATGTAAGCAGGAAGAGCCAGAAGCCAGCCCAGAGGCAAGAAGTGAGGTACGAGCTGAAGAGCCGGCTGCTGAGCCAAACCGGCCACAGCAGCACGTGCCGCACTGACCCAGGACCTCCTGCTCCCACTTGTGACCTGAGATGTAAGTGAGAACTTCGGCTGCCCTGATCCTGAGCTGGGAAAAGCTAAAACAGAGAGGTGACTGGAAAAAAACTGATGTCCAGCCAGGGGTTAAGCACCCAGAGGCCTAGGATTGGAAGGGAGTGCACACCGGCAGTGTCGATGGACCAAAGGCAGGTGGCAAGGAGAGGCCTGGGCCAGGTCACCCCAGAGCGTCTTCTCTGCTGTGGAAAAAGCCCACGAGCAAACAGGCATGTGCATGTGTGTGTGGGCAGCCCGAATCCCAGTCACCAGTCACCCTCCGTGTCCGCGGGAGCCCCAGAGGAAATACCTCCCAAGTGCAGGAGGGAGGAACCAGCAGGCCCACCAGCCAAATCCTCCACCAGCTTCAGAATGAGCCCCTGCGAGAATGTCCAAACCCTTCCCTCCTGGCGTGGGTCTGACTCCCTCACCTTCACCAAGAGCCAACCCAAAAACTGAGCTGAGAGGGAGTCTCTCCCGGGCTCAGAAACAACCAGGGAGCATCAGCCTGACCCCCGCAAAGTAATGAAGCTGTTCCGGCCCTTGCAGGAGCCTGCAGAACACAACCCGACTGCTGGGAGACAAACGTGAGAAAAACTCCTGACCAACAGGGTGAAGGGCCTGCGTCACAGGTCAGGTGACTGGCTGGCCTTGCCTGCGACGAGCCTTGACGCTGCCACCTACTCCGGAGCCTCCAGGGAAGGGCAGCAGAGCCCGCTCCTCTGGGGCCGGACACATTGAGCGGCGGGGGTGGGGGAGGGGGGAAGGAGGGATGCTCTCATTTTCAGAGGCCTTGCAGGAAGGTGAAGGTCCCTGGGACGGGGTGGATGGTGGCCCAGCACCTCTAGTTCCCCACCCGCCCCCACACAGAGGAGCAGCTGTGAGCCATGAGTAATGTTTGCCACCCAGTGCCAACCACACTCTTCCGAGATGCCTGCCCACCACTGGCAGGTTGTGGGGTGGGTGTCGTAGGAGAAAACCAGAGCCCTGAATTCCCGAGGCAGCCTGCAAAGCTGTTCCAACAGAGAAACACTCCCAGAGCATCTGTTCTGACAAACCTAAGAAAGAAAAAGGAGAGGAAAGCGGGGAGAGGATAAAGGGAAGGAGGAGAAGCAAAGGGGAAGGAGAGGGAAAAAAGAAAAAGGCGGAGCCTGTGAACAGTGAAGCTGCACTTACACAAGCTCAGGAGCCCAATCCTGTGATCAGCCCCCAGGGCGTGTGAGTGCAGCCGCAGGGGTTTGCCAAACTCTAAGTGGTGCCCCCGGCAATGCTGCCAGTGTCATTGTGGATTCCTGACTGTGCCTTAGGCTGCCTTCTAGCTCTCAGTGCACCAGCTGGCCTCGGGCTACCAGCTCAGACAGCCTTCTCCCCAGGACGCAGCGCTGAGCAGGCGAGGGGCCAGCTGGCTTGGTCCTCTCAGAAGGCTGGGCTAGAATTAGGCAGTGACTCCCAACCTAGGTGAAATGCTTGGGAGCACCCGCCTGGGCTACCCAGTGGGGCATGTGGTGCCTCAGGCAGGGAGGTGCGGACTGCCTGGTCCGCCTGCACACTGTCTGGGAGACTTGAAACTGTCATGAGATCAGCTTTTCATGACCAAAGTGCTGTTCCCACCAGCCCATCACCCAGCATAAGTGGGGGTCCCTCCCTCCTTACTTTATCTCGCCTAAAGGATGATAAACGGGACCTTAAAGTTACCCCAACGTGAGACCCTCAAAACTCAGAACTCCAGAAAGAAACAGAGCAAGACCGCACCGCCCATTGAACCCCAAGTCCTCGTGCCACAGGCCAAAAGTTGAAGCGCCAATCTGGCACACGAGACCGGCCTGACCTTCCAACAGAACTGCTGGCTGCAACCGGGCACCTTCCCCGTGACTGCGCCAGGCGCTCGGTGTTGCCTGGACTAATGGGCCAGACCACAGTGTCAGAGCTGGACTGCTCTCCTGAGGACCCTCAGCCTGGCTGGACACGTGGCCAGGGCCCGCCTCACAAGGGACTCATTTGGGAAAGAAGAAGTGAGGGACCTGGGCCCCCTGCGGTGTGGTTCAAACAGGCACAACTAAGCAATCTGGACAAGGATGGCGTTGGTGCCAGCCTCCATGGCAGGCAGCCAGCAGTGCCTCCCCTCCCTGTCGGTGCCGACGGCAGCTGCTATGGGCTTCCAATGGAATCTGTGTCCCTGTGACTGGCCGGTCAATCTGGAAGATTAGGCTTTGTTCTCTTGGAACCCAGCTGCCCTGCTTCAGGGGTGTCTGGCCCTCCTGGTGGGGAGAGGGGACATGCGGAGGGCCCCGGAGGAGACCCTGACTGCAGAAGCCATGGACCCAGCACTGCAGCGCCCTGCAGACAGCGCCCAGGCTCCGGGGTGAGATGCCCTCTTGGACCTTCCAGCCCAGCTGCCAGGTGAACGCTGTCACATGAATGACCTCAACCTCACCAGAGTAAACTGCCCAGTCAGCCCACAAAAATTGGGAGAAACAATAAAATGCTGATGTTTAAGCCCCGAAGCTTGGACATGGCCTGAGAGAACTGACACAAATGGTAAACTAGACAGAGAAAGGTACAAGGAACAAAAATGGGATAATGGTTCTCTCTGGATGGGAGGAAGGGCAATCAGAATACTGGGAATGTTCTATTTCTTCACTTGGCTATACCTCGATTGATTATTTAAACTAAATGTGTACATTTCATATACTTTTGTATGGGAAAATTTTCCAAAATGTGTACTTATATCCTTTGCTCATTTTTAGAAGAAAATATATTTTATTGATTTTTTACAGAGAGAAAGGGAGAGGGATAGAGTTAGAAACATTGATAAGAAGGAAACATTGATCAGCTGCCTCCTGCACATCCCCTACTAGGTATGTGCCTGCAACCAAGGTACATGCCCTTGACGGGAATCGAACTTGGGACCCTTGAGTCTGCAGGCCGATGCTCTATCCACTGAGCCAAACCGGTTAGGGCTCTTTTGCTCATTTAAAAAAATATATTGTTATTGATTTCAGAGAGGAAAGGAGAGGGAGAAAGAGATAGAAACATCAATGATGACAGAGAATCATTGATCAGCTGCCTCCTGCATGCTCCACATTGGGGATCGAGCCCACAACCCAGGCATGTGCCCTGTGACCTCCTGGTTCATAGGTCGACATTCAACCAATGAGCCATTTTCCAAAATTTGGCTAAATCCTATATAATGAAGAGGTAATATGCAAATTGACCCTCAAACCCTCACATCACAAGATGGCCACCCCACGTTGTCACAAGATTGCCAGTGAGGGAGGGCAATTG